CTGTGTTGAGGTAAAAGGAACCACAATGGGTATAAAAATGGCATTTTCCTATACTATTTCAGTAATCTTATAACAGAAAATATATACTATTGTTGACCAAAGAATGCAGTCAAATGTTTGTTCTTATTTGATGTCGCATTGGATCGGATACATTAATGATTGTTTTATTATATGGAAGGAAGAGTGTGTTTGTGTGTTTTTCATCGAGAGAAATCTAACCCCTGATTTTTAGCGTTGTAAATCCGTAGACTTACCACGGGAGGCTAGAAGGAAGATTTAAATCGGATTAATTTTAGTCAAATTTTAATTTATTTAAATCCAAACATTAAATTTATTGTTGAAAAGTATTATAAATCTATACACTTCTTAGATATATTGGTTGAAATATCTGACAATGATTCTTTAAAAACTGATATATTTTTTTATAAACTTACCAATTCCACGCTTGTTTAGATTTTAGAAATAACTACTCTAAACACGTCAAAATAAATATCTCATATACATTAGCAAAGAAAATTGTACAGATTGTTAGCAATAAAGAAAAAAGAAATAGCAGGTTAAATGAACTAGAAATGTTTTTACTAAATAGAAATTATCCAGAAGGCCTAATTGAGAAGTAGAATGGAGTTGGCTTTAGTTAATTAATAAAAGGCACTGTTTCCTCTTAGAGAAATGTTAAAGGTCAATTTTAGACAACTTTCTGATGTATATAAGCTGTTTTTCTTTATATAAAAGAGGGCAACTTTAAGGCATATTATCTCAACCTGCAGCAAACAGTGTATTTGTGTCTAAGAATAAGGTTATTTCAGCTAATACCAACTTACAATTAGTTTGATTTTACTTTCAATTTTGTAAATTGACTGCCTACGCTGTATTTCAAATTATATGGTATTAATGTTCCTTTGTATTAGCCCAAAGTAAAGTAAAGATAGTCAGCATCACACGAGAAGAATGCTTGAATCAGGTTTTGTGAAACTTACGCTTTTGTTTTGCATCCGATTTATTTATTTCTTATTTCTGTTGTGGAACAGTTTTTGAAAATTCATAAGTAAACCTTTTAATTGTTTCTATTCACAGTTTATGTCTTAGTATTTGTTTATTCAAGATAAGGAGTACTGACCAGATAAATGAAACAAATTGAGAAGAATATCCAACGTAAAAATTATTACAGAAGTATATTATACCAGTTAATAAAGTTAAGTTATCGCGCAGTTTTGTCCTTTAAAATCTCAAATCACTGAACCGAAACTTGTATGCTCTTATACGTCTTATTGAGGGCTGAAGACTATGTTTTTCGATAAAGAAACGAACAATTATGCACATGACAGAAAGCTATCACACTAACTAGAAGTCAAGTTATAGTTTGAAATTCTTTCCTTTCAAAAATAATTAATTACATTTATATGTTTTATTTTTACTCTCCTGAATTACTATATGAATTGTTTGCTTGCTATAAATTTCGCGCAAAGCTACACGAGGGTTATCTGCGCTAGCCGTCCCTAATTTAGCAGTGTAAGACTAGAGGGAAGGCAGCTAGTCATCACCACCCACCGCCAACTCTTGGGCTACTCTTTTACCAACGAATAGTGGGATTGACCGTCACATTATAACGCCCCCACGGCTGAAAGGACGAGCATATTTGGTGGGACGGGGACTCGAACCCACGACCCTCAGATTGCGAGTCGAGCGCCTTATCCACCTGGCCATGCCGGGCCTATCTTTGTAGGAAAAAAGCATAAATGTCAATTTCATTCTCCCACTGTTTGAGGTATGCGATGGTTGAAATGAAGGTATGACCAGAAGTCTTACATATGGGAACCCATACCCTGTTGGCCTCGTTTCGAGGCGGAGATCCATGTTGATTATACACACTGCATTTTCCTTACCACAAACGGGGCACGATTTGTTGTGGGTTTCTTTCTGGTTAGTCCTGGTGTTCCAACTTAATCCATATTCCTTTGTTTTTCAATCCCATTACATACAATATATACCCTCTTTTTAAAAATTATAAATTCCCGATCTAAACACATGTTTATAATCTGACTGTACTAACATTTTCCATTTCAAAAATAAATCAAATAAAAATAAATAAATCAAGCAAATAATGTCAAAACGTAATTATCATACATTTCATTCCACTGAGACTATATATCACCTATAGTTGTCATATTACTTGATGATTTGGTTATTCACAATTGTTTTATAATAACTACTCAATAGTTACCCAATTCTATAGTGTGTCTAAACTAGTTAATTTAATATATATGGCTGATACTTCTGAAAGAGTAAACATTATAAATAGCTACCCAATTTTATCAATAGTGATTACTGATTGTTCTAGTTCTAGATCAGTAACTGCTCGAAATGGTTACCCCGACAAATATTGTTGACTAATGGTTCTAGAAAAGTAAGTGCTCAAAATAATTACTCAATTTGATATCGCTGACTGGTGATTCTAGGAGCTGAAGTATTCACAATAGCTATTCAATTTAACCTCAATGACTAGTGGTTCTCAAATATGAAGTATACATGGGTTACAGTGCTTTATAACGATGAATGGAAGTTCTAGACGGTGCAATATTCAAAATATATTCAGTGTAATATCGAATACGAATGATTTTATAAGACTTGATGTTCAAAATTTTTATTAGGTTCAATATTGATTTTGATGGTTCCTGAAGATGTAATGTATAAAATTTTATCCAAGTTGATATTGACAGCTAATATGTTCTAGAAGAGTAAAGGCTCAAAATAGTTCACTAGTTATATACTAATCAAATACCAATGACACAAGGTTCTAGAATAGTAAAAATTCAAAATGCTTACCCAATTTAATTCTGAGGACTAGTGGTTCTAACACTGTTCAAAAGAGTTACCCAAATTAACTCACCCAACTAATAGTGATGACTATTGGTTTTATAAGATGAAATTATTAAAATAGTCCCTAAATTTAATAATAGAGAACAACCATACACCATTTAAAAGTATGGTAACAGTTCATCATTCAGATTCATAATTACTGAGTCGCGTATCATACTTATAGCCTCAGTAAATTCGCCAAAGCCAATGTTTGTTCAGCTAATTATAGACTGTTATATATATATATCTTGTGTATATTTGTCTGCGGACTTACAACGCTAGAAACAAGGTTTCAATACCCGTGGTGTGCAGAGCACAGGTAGTGAATTGTGTAGTTTTGCGCTTAACTACAAACAAACACTTTTGTATAAATATATAAATAAAAGCCAATAAGGGTAGTTGGGTAGAGTACTAGATAACAACCCCAGAGGTTGCACCGACAGGCACTGATCCCTCAAGTTGAGGATGGCTCCTTTACTGATGATATTAGTAATCTTCTAACTGTATTCTAGGGTATTGATTCCCAATCTTTTGCTTTTCCTAGCTACAACATGCAGTACTTTGTTTACTAGCAGTCTCATTCTCACTGAATGTCAGACCTTTCATGGATGCCGCTTTCGCTTCCTAGTGCAGAGGAGGTCGATATTCTGTCAGTAGTGTTGTGCAGTATTTGATAAAGAGGCTTCTCTTACAAGTTTGTCAGCTTCCTCGTTTCGCTTTAACCCTACACAAATGATTAGCTTATCATGCAATTGCTTTTCTGGCATATATCTGGGGAATAACCACTTTGAATTTTAACGCAGTCGGAGAAAGTTATGTAAAACGGTCCCCTTCTATAAAAAGGGTTATCCTTATGTAATATTAATTATAACGTGCTGCCATCTAGCACGGTGTTTATATAACTATTGTTTACGTGACCCCTGCAATTTTGAATAATCAATGCTTGATTTTTTTTGAACAACTTTAATCTGCTTTAATAATGCTTTTTAAAATGCTTCATTTGAATGTAAAGACCTGTAATTTTAATATATGTGTGTTTTTAATTTCGCGCAAAGCTACATGAGGGCTATCTGCGGTAGCCGTTCCTAATTTAGCAGTGTAAGACTAGAGGGAAGGCAGCTAGTCATCACCACCCACCGCCAACTGTTGAGCAACTCTTTTACCAACGAATAGTGGGATTAACCGTCACATTATAACGCCCCCACGGCTGAAAGGGCGAGCATGTTGGTGTGACGGGGATTCGAACCCGCAACCCGCAGATTGCGAGTCGAGCTCCCTAACCACCTGGCCATGCCGGGCCATAATTTTAATACAAATGTTAATCTGTGTTTTCATTTTAGATGACTGGGGACCTTTTTCACATTGCTTGAAAACAGTAGCGAAATACAGAGTTTAAAAATTAGAAAATTACTCAACTTTGTTATCCAGTTTTCTGGTAACAGCGTCTTCGATTATATTTACCCTCACTTTTTAAGTTTATATATACACAACAAAAATTCAAGAGCTGTCTTCAGAGTATTTTTCGTTAAAATTCCTGGAGACCAGTGGCTCACAATACACGTTACCTGAAAACTACAATTATTTCTCATTTTTAACCATTGTATCGCGATACACATAATAAAATTGATTATTATCTTTGAAATGTAGGATTGGTATCATTTCGTTATTATGTTCGTTGGAACTATCGTCTCTTTGGCATAGGCTGGGGCATTATTCTGTTATGCATACTGGAGTTCTATAACGGTTAAGCGAGCGGCCAAATTTGCAGTGTTTTCTAAATGCATGCTTAAGGTCGTATTTGAAAAGTAATATACAGGCTTTTCTTAACTGTTTTTGCAAAGTCTGTTTATAAGATGTAATCTTCAAATCTAGTTCTTTAGTTAGAACATATGTTGGATCACAAGATCTGGATCATATTTCTAGTTATTTCGTTTATTTTATTGTTTGTTTATTTGTAATTAAGCACAAAGCTACACAATGGGTTATCTGTGCTCTGCCCACCACGGGTATTGAAACCCGGATTCTAGCCGCAGACGTGCCGCTGTGCCACTGTGAGGCAGTTATTTCGTGACAACATTAATCCGTTTGTACACCACCGTTATTATAGCTTGATGGTGAAATATTAAGGAATTCCACTTCTAACTTATAGATTTCACCAAATAACCCAGACTTTTAGCGATAAAGTCCTTGTTATTAAAAAAAATATTCAATTTTTTTAGGAGCTTTCCATCTTAGATAGATAGATATGTACAGAAATAAACAGATAAATAGATAGACATATAGAAAAATAAACAAATTTTTTCAGAACTTTTTGGATTTCAAAAGTGTTAATGCTAACATTTCATTAATTGTTAAAAAAAATTCTATAGATATGTACACCTTGGATTTCATAAGGATGAATGTTAAAGTTCATTATTTGTTAAAAGATGTCTACAAATATTTACTCCCTTGATTTCTAAAAGGTTAATGTTAACATGTAATTTATTGTTAAAGAAGTGTCTGTAAATATCTGTTTTCTGGATTTCATAAGGGTTAGTGTTAACAGTTCATTAAATGTTAAAAACATTCAAATGTCTAGTCCAATTACAGAAAAAATATATTCGTTCAGTAAATTATTTAACCTGCAATTCCTTGGAGAGTTTGTATTAAAGCTTTAGCACAAACAACGAATACTCAGTGCTTTTTAAGCACCGATAGTTCTAGGTTTATGAGATACATTTTCTTGCAATATCTGTTAGAAAACATCGTGAATTGTCGTTTTCATTTCTGCTAAAAACGGAGTTCCAATACAAAGTATGTGTTACCTGCGCGCGCAGTACGATCAGAGCTGTAGCAGTTCGAGTGATGAGCTAGCTACCTCAAAGTTAAACACTAACAAGTTGCCAATCGAAAAGCAGCTGACCAGGAGCAACAGCTAGGTCCCGAACTAAGTCGGAAGCAGTAATTAGGTTTAAAAAATACTTTACAAATTCAAGTTCTTATTCCTTTTTCACATATATAATAGTTTCCTTATTCTAAACAAGATCAGTAAAGAATTACTTAAACAGCTTTTGAGCTGTTCTTTCCAGCTTCTCTTTCGATTCATGCCAAATTCCCAAATGGATCCTAGCAACTTCGTAAATTACAGTAATATTTCTAATATCGGACTTCAGTTGGAGGCCTTGGGCCCGGACTTACAGATATTTTTAATCATCCTATATTCTGTGACTGCATTCCTAGCTTTAAGCGGGAATTTCACGGTCATTGTTGTCTTAACATTAGGAAAGAAGTCTTCCCGTGACTTACGGGCATACCTCATCAACCTGGCAACTTCTGACATCACAATGGCGACATTTTCTATCCCTTTCACCTACACAGACTTCATGCTTGGGCGTTGGATCTTCGAGCCGTTTTTCTGTCCAATTGTGATGTTCATGCAGCACTGTTCAGTCATAGTTAGTGTCTTCACACTAACGGTCATTGGATTAGACAGGTCAGTTAATATCTATCTTCTTAATCGAATTTCAAATAAACAATAAATAGATGTAAAATATGGATAATGTAAAACCTATAAAATTAAAACTACAAATTTTGTTTGCTTTTATACGCACTTTGTGCTGAAATTATTAGTTAATAAATTTTATTTTGTTGAAATGCCAGAGCCGGGTTACAAATTCAAGGGACAAAATCATACATTTTAAACCTGGAACTTTTTATGCATCATGGTACAATAATTACTACAATGTATGTTTTCTTAGAATGCTTGCTAACACTAAAATATGTATTAACCTGTTTTATTTCGTTTTGTTCAATAAATATATAAGTTATAAATAGTTACCACTTCCATAAAATAACGAGAAAATTTTGTTTACGTACAAATAATTCAAATTATACTACATTAAAAATGTTCATATATTTTTACTTTAAAATCTCTATAACATTTTCAGTTAAGTATAGTTTCTTTCTACTGCTGATTTATATTTGAAACTATATCTGCATAGATTTCTAATTGACTACAATCTGAAACTCGTTATGACTTTATAGTCAACGACACTTTTTCTCCATCGCTAATTTACATTAACAACTTTTCTTACAAAGTTTCCTTGACGACAGTTGGTTTTGCTTAAATTCTTGAAGTTACAGTATGGCGTATAGACAGCTGTGTCTAGAAAGAGGGATCTCAATGGAAGCCGGTACCTGATATACACCTTACCAAGAGGGACTTCTTAAAAATTACCAATGCAAAATCACAACCACCGCAGAATTGATTACGTTGAGAATTGTTTGCTTTGTAGGAAATGTACTTCACATAACAAACGTTTTCATTTTTAACATCGGGTTAATATAATAAAACCTTTATATTAAAATGCTAAAAGCAAAATACGAAGAATAGAAAGTACCTATTGTAAGGTTACAATAATACAATAGGATTATTACAGTAATACAATAAGGAAACTAAATTTACAACCTAATGGCTTTTAAAATACTTTATAATAATCAACACAATAAACTCATTATAGAAATGTGCGCCTTTTAAACCCCAATAATAAACACTGTTAATAATACTTATTATTTTGCTTGTCTATATCACATGGAAAATGTTATCAAAACAACAATAAGAAAACCCATTTTTAAAAAGACAAATTCACAGACACACGAATATTTTAAGGCAAAGTTTATATATTTCTTTTCTTAAGAACAAGTTCTTACAAAATTGTAGTAACAAGAATAAACAAATAATGCCAAGACTAAAATCAAGATGTGGAATATTGAAAGTATATATATTGTTTTTTAGTGATGCCTGCAAGGGAAGAACCCGTATATATATTTATATATATATCTATAACATGTAGAAATATATTGTCTATCAGATTCGCTAACCTAACAAAATTCATAACGGATACAAATGTCTAAAAAGACATAAAGAGTAGATGTGGACTTTTTTACTTTTTAAGGGTTAATGATGGAGTTAAAAATAAGTAAATGTTTAAAACTTGAGCAATTTTTCATTTATTTTTTGTGTTCTTGTATTTAAGAAATAATTAGAATATATTTAATCTGCCTGAATTGTACATAGAGATAAGTTTCTACGGAGGAAGAGTGTGCTTTTATCATTACAGCCTTCTGACCGAGCCTTTTGCAATGGAAACTACACTGCAGGGCTATTGTCAAAATGTACGGTCGTTATTTAGAGCATAGCCGGACGCGGTGACGTGGTGGGACTCCAAAATCGTTTAATATAATGTACTTAATCTTTATATATATTTGTTCGTCAAGAAACGCCAGCTCAACGATGATGTAAACTATGACCATGTGTAATATAGACATTGTGGTCGATAAAAAGCGTGGAAAAGACCACACACAGTGTTTGGATGCATTCGTGTGGCCTATAATGTGCTAGTTAACAACACTTGATAGGATAATGACGATACTTAAGGAATGCGATTCAAAAGTAAATAACAATATTCGTGAGTAAGGAGAAGGTCAATGAACATTACTATATATAATTTCAGGTTCATTTATTTATATTTTCATTACAATGTGGATTTATTGTAAAAACATATTATCTTGAATATCTTATAACAAACGTATGACTTTAAAAATATTATTGAAATGGAGGTAGTTGAGAGAGACGTGTGTTAAACTGTTTTATGATGTCATCTCTTTTGAAGTGCGCGGGGAACGTGTTTTATTATGTGTTCTTTTGTGGGATGTGTGTTGAATGTTCTGTATGGTCTCTTTTCGAAATGTGCGTGTTTGCTAAATGCTCTGTATACAGTTTGTTATAATGGTGTGTTTGTATGACTATATGTTCTTTATATAGTCTTGTATTGCAATGTGTGTGCTAAATTCTTTGTATATGGTTTTCTGTTTAGAATATTTTGCACTAAATGTATTTAATTATTTACTGAAGTTTTTGTGCGTGGTAAATGCTCTATATACAGTAGTATAATCCTTACTTTGGCCAATGGATAAGTGTATGAAACTTCCAAAATAAGGATTAAATTTGATAAATTTGTCACGACGGTTTTAATTCTTGTTTCATTACTTTTTACAGCAGGATCCCTACTATATTTTAAAATTGATAATTTTTAATAACCTTGTTTGTTTTCTTTTTATGTTATACCTGTATAAAATATATATTTTACCTTTAGAAACTGTCACATGTCTATCCATCAATATGTAGCGCCATCCGTTAGGTTGAATTGGGTTGAAAAGATATTTAAGTACGTGCATGATATATTTAAGGTTGATATTATACCTGTAAATATATATATATATGGATTTTTATCGGAATACTAAAAGCGGATACCCACAGACCAGTCAAGTAAGCTGGAAACATCTTGTAGCGATAGTCCGAGCTGTCTAGGCGCTAGCCCGCTAACACGATCAGGTAGGTAGGTAGTAGACGAAAAAGTTGCTGGTTTAGAAATTTTTGAATTGTTATACCGGAAATGTTAGCGACCTTTTCAGCGTATTATTAGTATATATATGCATAACGTATCGTACCTAGCGCAACCAATACTTTGAATGTCGAATTTTTTCCAAGGAATTTCGATAGGGTGGTTTTTCGGCGCGTGAATTATCTGGAAATCTTGTTGATCCATACTATTAAGTACTGCTGTACTTAAAATGGCCTTCAATTGAGGTGTGACTGGGAAATGCTGTGTATATGGCCTTTTATTCAAATGTGATTGTGATAAATGTTCAGTACAAGATCTTCTATTCAGAAGTTGTGAGTGTTCAATATTTTATAATTGTCCTTATAACTATATCGTCTTTCGGAAAAACTGAAGGACTGTTTTCTCAAAGTGAATAATGCATTAAAACCAGCAAATTGGCTGTTCACTCACTGGTAACGCTGCAAAGAAGTTGACGATTTAATAATTTTGTTACGATGAACAAGCAACAAACACACAGCCTGAAAATTAAATTAATAATTTTTCTTTGACCAATGGTAACAAACAGAAAAATAATTATACCACTGAAATGGCTCAAGGTTATTATGCAATGTTTATCTAGAAATAGAATTTATCAGATCTATGCAATGTGAATTGCCTACTTAGCTTACCTCTCTTAAAAATAAAATCAAAAACACTAGATAATGCCAATTTATGGTGAATCACGTTAAAACACTATTTTTCTGCATCTTGGTAACGTCTAATTTGAACTTAAAATAGTTTTTTCTCCATCATGATATCGTCTAATATTAATTTAAAATACTTTTTTCCATCTTGATATCGTTAAATCTCAACTAAAGTGTTTACAGAAAATGTCATCCTCAGTTTATATTCGTACTTCTTTACAAAAAGTTCAGATAAAACGCAATCTGTTTAGCATTTTAAAAAGTAATTGCCCAACATAAAAGTGAGGATTGGACGGTAAAATGATCCCAGTGACCTTTTTCTTATCAAAAGTTTCATATCCTTTCTTTATCTGAAAATCTTTTTTCTTTAATAGGAAGATAAGATTGTTCATTTCCATACAGTATGGCGATATATATCTTTTTTTATGTGCAATATATTTGCAGAGATATATATGGTGTACGATAGTATCCAAACCTTGTTTATTTAAGAAAAAATAAAAAGAACAGTTTAAACCCACTGTTTATGTTGCCTCATGGTGTTGCCAATATAATCATCTTCTCGGCAAAACCAGAATAAGTGGCTTTCACTTTCTTTAGAGAAGTGTTAGAGGGTTTTCAAAGAAATGATCTTTGAACATCATCTGATGTAAGGCTCGAAAGGTCCAAATAAAATATTTACTCTAGGTACACTGTATGAAAAGCTATTAAAGTATACTATCTTATTAGGTAGGATGCCGGATTAAGGATCTGAGATTCCCATTACCCCACTTTGGGTTAGTGGATGTGTTGTAAAGGTGATGGTGATGTGTCACTATTCAGTCAGACAAGAATAGCCTAAAAGTTGGCCTGTGTGCTGTGGACGTGAATGACTAAAAACTAACAACTTTAAAACTAAAGCTGTAGGACAAATAAACAATATCATTGCATTATTCTTACTCGACTAAGAACAATATATGTTTTTGTGTGTTTCTTTTCATATGAAAGCCAAATCGAGCTATCTGCTGTGTCCACCGACTGGAATCGAACCCTGATTTTTGCGTTGTAAGTCCGTAGCCTTACCGCTGTCCCACCAGGAGACTTTTTTGTTTCTAATCGTGTCTCTAAGATGAAGAGACCACTAAAGAAAATATGAATTGTGAATGTAAGAGATAAATGTATCTTATAAAAATATGATTACCTTGTTAACAACCTACCCTTAGGTAAATAACGTCACTTAGTTTATACGTTTTCTGCCTCGACCACTTCTATTATTAATAGTACAAGTTCCACCCTCTTTAAAGTCTGGCATACAGCTCCTAATAAACCGTAGAGATTTACCTCAATTTCTTGCATGAAGTATCTTTGACCAACCAAAACTTTTATTTCTATGCTAATATAATATGTTTTTTCAGTTCTAAGAACCCTGA